CTCATGACCCTGGACAGTAATTAAGCCTCATGCTTTGATGTTAACACCAACCATTTTTGAAAAAACCCTGTCCTGCATGCTTTTCATGTTTCAATTATCCATCACAGGCTATTCCACACCTTTGTTGAAAGCATTTTATGGCTACTCTCAGAAGACCAAGGGATCGTTGATTTAGTCCACAGTGGGAATTCTCATCTTTCCAATCTGCAGTGATGACCAAGACCCGCTCTATCCTGAACGTAAATGAACAAGTGAACTAATAGCAGAAAGAAGGACTGGTGCTGAAGTGTATGGCTTCTTAACTGCTGCAATTATAGTTAATGAAATGCCAATAGACAGCAGCAGACAGTAAAATTACAGTAGCATACTTTGAATTAACAGTGGGTTTTCCAGTAAAATGGGACTGTATTAGAGCATTCTGCTGGGGCAGTTTATTCCATTCATTTGTCCTCTAATTAAAGAAGCCTTCATCTACAGATGCCTTTCATGTACTCTGGACAACCTTCCCACAAATAACAGTCTTACTATTTTGTCTTTGCTGAGCTTTAGGAAGACAATACCATTTATTTAATGTAGAGCAAAATACACATTGATGATGAACAGATTAGTAAGTCTTAGTTAATTACTATTTTCAGTACAGTTCACAATTAATGATATTATTGTGCAATAGCTAGCATGCGTCTGCTCCCAATTGGCTATTTAAATATTAGTATATTTAGAACTATTTAGTTCCGCAACTACGCTCCTACTGAAATCCACAGCTGGTTATGAAATCAGCTATCAGATGTACTAGAGACAACCACTGCAATAAAATGGTCATGTTAAACAACTGTTGAAAAGTAACAATAAGCATTTTTCAGTAATACTACTGTGCTGGGCTTTACCAGTTAGCTTGACTCCAGAAATTACCACAACCAAACAAACCAGTACCACATAAAAGCTGCTGCTCAAGATGCTGCTTAGAAAAATGTATCAAGATTTTTGGTATTTATTTGTCACCCTTTTCAATGTTTAAATACTATAAGATCTTCTATGGAAATGTGGCTGTATGTAAAAAAGTCTCTAATGAACATCTACACAAAGTTGTTCCTCCCTTTCACAATATTCATCTGCATTCTAAATAAACTACTGATCCCTTTCACAAGCATTTGAAGATGCTGGAACTGTTCTTTCGAGGAATAATGCCAAGACGCTGACGTTATAACACTATTTGCTGAAAACCTCAGACTCTTTACCACATGCAGAGTCTAAGTCATGCTCCAGAAATTCCTGAGGTCTACACTTAGGGCGCATATGACCTTGTGAGAGAGTCAGGGTTCATTTCTTGATGCACCTTCCTCCAGTAACTGGTATACAACCTAAAGCATCTATTCCATTACTTTTATTAGACTCACAAAGCTTATTCACTATGTCACTGCCCTCTGTCTCACTATTAATACCGGTGAGACACACCAGCAAAGTATGCCTCATTGGTCAGAAACTAGTGATTTAAGGAACATTAATGTTCTGTGACCACTCTGTGCACAAGTGTGCAATGTGTTTACTGGCTGGAGCAGTTGGTCCAGGGATGTCGCCACTTTAAAGTCAAGGCAGACAGAAAGAATTTCCAGAATACAATTCTCTGTGTTGTTCAGGGGATGTTTCTTGCTTTGGTATCACATGTCATCCTTGTATAGGAGTCTCGGAGTCCAATTCGTTCTCCAACGTTATTTCAGAGAACTGCTTGACTCTTATCAAAATGATGCATCTCCCTATTCAAGTCCTGTCCATAAACAAACCTTTTTTTAAATCTTCTTTTCATTCTGCATTACTAAAACAAGCAGACTATGCTGCTTTAGGGTGTTACATTAACATTGTATTGCCAGCAAAACAAGTAAAATAATATTTGCAATTTTTAGTAAGTTACTGAAAAAGCAAATCCTTTTAATCCTCTCAGGTAAATAAACAAAGTTTGTTAAATAAACTCATCCATCTAGAACATACAGTTCTACATACATACATACAATTTCTCTGTTGAATGATTACACAATAGTCCATCTAACTCAGATACAGTAATTTTCTTCTCTTTACTCTCCTCCTTAAAAAGCTGGGTTTTTTAAGACACTAAAAAATATCTGACTTCAGCTTTTCTATTCTATTTTCTATTCCAAAGTAGATTCAGAATGTTTCTCAGTTCCCTTAGCATTAAGTTTCTGGCTTTGCAATTAACACACATCAAACAGATCTCAGGATGTCACCAAAATGTGTAATGCTACTATGATGCGTGTTTAAATATAGGCATGCAAGTAATCGGATTAAAGTCAGCATCTGCAAAGTCAAACACATAGCCACAGACAGGGTTTACTACTGTTTCTGTGTTCAGGTTCTCAACTGCTTTCATTGCCATTTCTCTTAACATGTTGGATCATCTGCACCCCATTATAAAAAGAATAAAAATACTAAGATGCCCCTCAGTGGGCTGTACAGATATTCTTAATAGTACCACAGAAAGACTCAGCATAGGCTGGTTTTTTATGGTGTGCCTTCTCTTCCCAAAACACTAAAAATACTGCAATAAAGAGAACTTGAATTACAGTTGAATTATACTGAACTTCAGTTAAAAGAAGCAATCCTGTTGTTTAGCATAATACCAGATACAAGAAATCACTTAGGATGGAAACTTGAATTTGGTACTCTAGCAAAACCCTACCGACTTTTATGTAAGAGTTTTAATGCAAGTAAGTATTGAGTGACTCTTCAAACACTTTTGAATTACTAATCAGGCCTGCAAGCAATTGCAAAACTGGGATCTGAGAATTTGGCCCTTTATTAAAATAAAGTAAGATGAAATATTAGCTTAATGCTGCCTTTGTTGAATTTCTGAATCGACTGAAATAATTTTAGTATTTCAAAAGTGTGTTTTTTAATTATCCCATATATGACCAACATTTGTAATCCCTGTCATTCCTGTAACGAATTTCAGATATGGAATATAAAAGTATTTTTGCTTAAATATCTTACAAAAAGAATCATTATACTTCGTGCTCCAAAGCACACTATAATGACTGGCAAGATTATGAAGTACTCTAATTATCGCATTACTTCTACACAAAACACAAAATCTTTTAAAATACAATCTAGGAGCAGCATATTTGATTATTTTTCAGTTTTCTAATGCCAGAGCAGAATAATGCATTTAATGGATTAATAATCTGATGCAGAAAAACACCTCTTACACAGTAACTCCACCAAATGCAACACTCCACAATATTAAAAAGTGCTGGGTAGACTAACCATGGTTTAAAAAAATTCCTGCTGAACAAAAACACTGAAGAAATTACAGAATGATTTTAAAGAGTTTCCAGTCTAAAAAGTTTTCAAACTTGGAATTACTTGAAAATAGTGGTGAGGTTCTCTTTGTCTAGATGCGTACCTACTGAACAGTTAAGTCAGGATGTCTGAAGGGGAGATATCTATAGAAATCTGTTCAACTGTTGAAAGTCCTGGCCAAAGTTTAAAGTATAATGTGTATATATATTTTACTGAGGGTGATCTTGCACTCTCATCCCTGCCTGTGTCAGGGGTGTTGGAATGAGATGATCTTTAAGACCCCTTCCAACCTAAAACCATTCTCTGGTTCTACACAGTTTGACTTAAAGACCAGCTGACTTTGAATTCAAATATAATTAAAACTCATTTATCTAAATGAAACCCCCACTATAAACACACAAACCACTCACTATACCAACTAGGCAAACTCAGAAAGAATGTTTTGAAAAGGGAATGTATCTAAATTCAGGTTTTTTATTTTTTGTTTAAAGATTACAGTAACTGAGCTAAACCAACGTATTTCAGATTTGACAGCTGAGGGGGAGAGGTTGATAACACACTAAGTAGTAATTCAATACCTGCATTCTTATGACCTTAGTCTGACTGCAGTTCAATTAGTCTGTAGCACCTGAATAATCATTACAAATGGAAAGAACTTAAATACTTTTTTTTTTTTTAATGTATATCCTATTTGTTTTCTAATTATTTCCTCTTAGTTCAGGACAAATAATCTTTGCAGTTCATCTCTGAGCAAGGCTGTGCATAATTTATCACAAGAAACATTATCACAGGTCTGCTGAACACAGTGATCAATGTCTTCACCCATAGATACACCATAGCATCTCACACGGTTTTGACAACATTTCTTATATTCTTTTACTATAAATAGTAAAACTAAATAGTAAATGGTCTAATAAAAACATCTGCAACAAACAAAACCACAACTATTTTATATTACAAGATACTGTAGAATACATTTAGAGCATTTCTCAACTCTGTAAATAAGTCAGGAATATTATTATTCATAAATACCAGGAACAAAGCCCCCAAATCAAAACAGTAACTTAAAAAGAACTAAAACTGATTTTAGAAGGCTGCAAAGCGCTTTGAAAGCATTAAAACCAAAACTCAACCAAATTTCTTGCTACAAGCTTTATTTTTTCACATCCCATCCTGAAGGGCAGACAATGGTACATTTATTAGCAGGTTAACAGAATTTCTCTGATAATGTATCATAGGTTCCACTGGCATTAAATCCCCCAGAGCTCCTCTACATAACCTATTCTAGGAATAAAAAAAAAACCACCCAAAACACCAGCCAACAGAAACACCCAAACACCCCCCCCCCAAGAAACCAAAACAACCCAACACCCCAAAAGTAAAACCTTGCTGTTTTTTTTTCCTACCTGTACATTCAGTTTTATTCACAATGCTTTACGAGAAAGACATAATAATACAGTTATGTGGAACTATCCCACATCAATCTCAGCTGTTTTACTGAAAAGCTACCAAAATAGTTACACTAACTTTTACAATTACACATTAATTTTAAATCTATCACACAACAACAACAAAGTTATCAACTCTATGCATTATAGAAAAACTTACGAATTTTTAATTTTTGAAGAAAACAGAAGTTACTAAAAATATATTTTTTACCGTACCTCCTTTAATTTTTTTTTTCCAGAAAGCTGATCTTAACAGGTTACAAAGAAAATTATTTCTTCAGCCACACGCCTTTGTATTTTATTTTTATTTAAAATAAAAAGCCACATAAATGATAAAAAAAAAACTGGTTTTGGCCATTTGGCTCCCTCCCGCAAACTGACACTTTATAAAAACCTTCCGTACTTTTTTTCCCCCTCCCTCTCTCCCTCTTTACTACCTCCAAGATGGTAGGAAAGTTGTTGTTTTGGAGGGCAGAGGAGCCGCTCTCTGATGTTATGTCCTCGCAGTGCCTGTAGTGGTGCTGTAGGAGGCTGCTGGCTCTCTTCTTGAGCAGCCCCAGCAGCCCTGCCTTCTTTGCTGGAGAATATATTCAGGGATTCCCCTTAATAATCACCTACCCTCTGAGCACTTTGTAGTTTTAAAATAATAAAGAGCCCCCAAAGCTTCCTCCCCACAAAAAGCAGGATCTTCTCAGAGCCAGGGGGGCAGCAGCTCCACAGCACAGAGCCCGAGCCCATTCCCAGTCCCTCTGCTGGGGAGGAAACTCTGATCTGTCAGCCCAACAGAGGGAAAGGGGGGAGAGGAGAGAGAGGAGAAAAAAAAAGCAGCTGGAAAGGTAAGCCAGGCCCGGCCTGCATCCCCGGGCTCGCGTAGCGCGGCAGGCGGTGCGAAGGGTGCAGGGCGGGCGGGGAAGCGGTCTACGTGAGGCCGGGGATCGGCCGGGGCGGTGTAGGCCGCAGCGGGGGGTGAGGGGAGCCGGGCGGGGGTTCGAGGCGTTCGGGAGCCGAGAGGATCGCCGAAGGGGGGTGAGACGGTCGCCGGGGCCCAGCGGGAGGGTCGGGGTGCGGCGCGGCGGCGCCTATGCCCGGGAGGTGAAGGGCGGCTGGGGAGAACGGAGACGGCGGGGGGCTAGGCCTCAGCGCGGCGCGGCCCGGCAGCTCCGCTCCCCGCCCTGCCGGGCCCCCCGCGCCGGGCCCCGGGCCCAAAGCGGGCCGAGCCCTGCCGCTGCCGGAGCTTGGCGACTTGGGGGAGGCGGCGGGGACGCTTCGGCCGGGGCCACTTCCCCCCCCACCCCTCCGGCGCGGGGCGGCGGGGCGAGGGGCGCCGCGGGACGGGACTGGGGGCTGGGGGCGGCATTAATTTTCCGAAAAGACTTTTAATGAGCGGCGGTGGCCGGAGGGCGGGGGGGGGGGGGGGTGTGCACCCCTTCCCCCAGCCCGGCCCGGGGCCGCCGCGGCGGAGGCGGTGCCGGTCCCGCGGGGCGTGCGGGGCCGCTCCGGCCGCGGCCTGGAAAGTTTCGCGGCGTTTTTAGGGTGCTTCCCCCGCCGCCACCGCCGCCGTCCGCCCCGCGGCCGTGGGGACGGAGCCGGCGGGGAGTTGGGGCGCCGCGGCTCCCCTCCAAGCCCGTCCCGTGCCCTCCCCCCACCCCCCCCCCCTTCCTCCCCGTCGGTGAACCCCCTCGCCCGGGCCGGTGTCGGTCTGACTGGCCTCACAACTTTTTGGGTGTGGGGGTGGGGAAGTGGTACTGGGGGTGTGGGGAGGCCGCCAGAGTGCCCCCCCTGCCCCGTAAGCTGCCGGCACATGGGGGTCCCAGACCAGTCCCATTAGCGGGGGCGGTGAGGGACAGGAGCGAGGGGCTGCCTCGGCCTCGCCTTTGCGACCCGCCACGTGCGGGGTGGGCAGCCCCCTCAGCGCGGCCGGGGTCCCTCAGCTACCCACACTGCCCGGGGACGGTTGGCATCAGCAGGACTGGGCCAACAGCCCCCTGGCCCCACAGCCACAGGAAGGGATCACCTCGGCGGCCCCTACACGGCAAAGGTTGTGTCTGGATTTGGGCCCGGGGACCCTAGCTGTGCCTAGGGGCCCAGGTCCCACTGGCGTGGGGGGTCCCTGTGAGGTGCTGCTGCCCCCCCGGACTGAAAATGAAAGGATAAGTTTTTTTTTTCTGTTGTTTTCAGGGAAAAGAACGTCTGGTAGTTGTGAAGTGAGTCCACTGGAAAGCCCACCAACGCACTTCGCCCCGCACAGGTGAAATAGCTCTGGTTTATAGTGTGGGAGGTATCTGGTTTTGATCAAATGCTCTTTACTGTGTCTTTTGGCTTGAACTGCTAATGGCTCTGTACAGGTAGCCTCTAGTGAGTTTAGGAAATTAAAGTAATGCTTACCTTAAAGCCTTGTATTATACCATCTGATTAAGATACATAGATCTGTAGTTGCTTCTAACTTTGTTACCTAACAACATACGGTAAAGATCTATTTTAAGGCTGTTCTCAATTCTTGAGGATTGGTAGACTTAAAATTGGCAAATTTAGGGCAACGCATCAGTCCTCTGTAGTTGAGTGCCTTCTCTTATGGACACCCCTGTGCTGGCAGTGTTTCACACTAGGGCTGTCCATACCCACCAGGTACCACTGCAGATGCCTGAAAGAGCGCCTGTATTCTGTGTTGTCACTTAACAGCTTGGTAGCATTTCCACAGCCATCTTCAGCCTTTTATATGATTTGTAATACATACCTGTATCAGACAAGTTTTATTAATCATAAGTTATCTACAGAAAGCAACCCAAAATTTACCTAGTGGGAGTTTGATGTTTCAGTGTTGTTACGATGAGTGAATTGATCTGTACGTAGGGCCTGGTCCTACAGAGTTGTGTGTACTGTGTTTTTACAGTATGGTGAATCCTCAGGAGGTAGAGATTTATTGTAATATCATATCGAAACTTTGATAGCTTATTACTGCGAAAAGGCTGTTCCGTCAGGAGCTCTGCTCCTTTATTGAGTATTCCTACTGAACCAAGAATGGTATTCCTGTATTGTGTGAAAATGAACCTGTTTGTCTTTGCAATATTTGGTCTAAAAATAAGACTGAGGCATTTTGTTTAACCTCATATGCAAGTGCAGATTGTTATTTGAATAAATAAAAGACTTGGACTTACAGCCTTTTTTTTGTTCAAGTACAGATGTAAAGTATGCTGTGGTATGTTTAGTCTCTGCTTTCTCTCAGGATCATGGTTTTGATACTTTGAGATAACGTTTTAAAGTACATTTCTGCAATGTGGCAATGGCCTAATGTTCCATTTGTTGCTGTATCTGATTGAAGGCTGCCTCTCTGCAGCCACTCGCACCCTGGCAAAACATGGGCCTGTTTACAGCCACACTGAAATAAGCATGAGAATCTGCCTGTGAGGATGTGATTGCAGGACTGGGGCCTGCGACCTTCTGCTCACATAGAGAAATCCTTGTTGGAAAGACTTCGAAGATAAGGAGCCTGTCTAGAACCTTAGGTCCGGAATAACCATGTATAGGAAATTATTTTATTGAAGTCTATAGGAGTGTGCTCTTAGCGACAGTTTTGAATCTTCGCACTTAACATCTTTTCTCTTTATATATCCTTTGAATTTTCCAGAACAGAATTCCTAGAGTCTTAAATGGTTGTTGGTTTTTAGGCTTTGGGCTATCGTTGTCGCATTTCCTATATGGTACTGTTCATCAGATGAGTGAATCAGCTGAAATTAAAATTCCTGTCTAAGTTTTGTGTAGGAAAACAGAGAAGAATCTGTTCAGTTTTGGAACAAAAAGAGTTATTTTTCCATCCTCTTAATTATGTTTTCTGTTGTTGATTGAAACTTGTTACAAGTCTGTAAGTTTTCTAGCCATTACTGTTATTAGGAATAATACTTGAATTTAATTCTCTATTTATTGCAGTGTAATCTGTGTTACCAGTATTGCCTAAAATACACTGCTGCTTTTCTGTTAATACATCTGACATCCTTATGCAATATAAACTGCCTTTTTGCACAGTTGAGGTAATAAGCTTTCAAAAAAGGCAGAATGAGGACAACGTTGCTGCTTCTATCTTCCTAGGTAGATCTTAACAAGTGAAAAGAAGTAGTCCGAAACATGATTCCAAGTGGTAACTAAAAATGTCTAGTAAGATCTTAACATATTACAGTGCCTTGATATGTCAGGCACTTGCATGTGTGTGGAGTACCTTGACTTGTGTGTGGCTTTTCAGAGGTCTTCTTGAGTAATGATTGTACTATAGTTAATAAAAGCGTTCCCTACAGGAACTCTTGTAGTTGACTTTGGTTGCTTCCCAGTGTTTTCTGTCTCAATTTGGATGCTTTTACTAACAAAAAGACTCTTGTTTTCAAAATTACAGTAAGCTTGGTTTGGTAGCTTAGTGTAGTAGAGCATTGAGCTGTTAAATGACCAGAACTAAGCCAAAGTTATGGTTAGATCGTAGAACAGGGACAAAAGTTATAACTTCGTTGTGTTGATGCCAACCACAATCCAATGTGGTGCAGCTTCCCTTGATAGAACAGAGCACTTCACAGAGAGGTACTAGTTGCCTAAAGTCTCTTAGTACGGAATAGGAAAAAGGAATGTATTTTCTCTCTAATAATATCATTTTTACTAATACTGACTGAAAGGTTTTACTTGAAAAAGTAGCTTTAAATGCTTGTCTTTTTGCAATGATTTTTATGGTCTATGTCAATCTCTGAAGAGTGGATGTAACTCCATGTTGCCCAAACATCTTCAAATCTCTGTATTTAGTGTTAGTTTCAGCAAAAGGGTCAGGCAGTGACAACGCAAGGAATTGTTCTTTCTTGGTAAAGTTGAGGAATCAACAAAACTACTTCTTAGCTGTTTGTGGAAAAACTGATGTTTTTGGAGATCCACGTTCCACTTCTGGCCCCAAGCTGCTAGTTTAGGAAACATATGTAGATGGTTATACCTTGTCTGTGAGATTTCATGAAGACACCAAGAAATTTAACATGAAATTTGTGCTAGTATTATCAAATGCTAAATGACATAGCTAAGACTTCTTTAATCGTGGCTTTTATTTGGATGCAATGTGTGAAGCTCAGAGTTCAGTCCTCTTAATTATACATCTTTTAACCACCGACATATAATTGCCTTGCAATTTACAATGCATTTGGGGATTCCATTGCCTAAAAGGGTCTTACGTACGTTGAATGTCAAGTTCTGAGCATACATTTAAGAATGTATCCAACCCACATGATTTAAAATATTATAATATTCTCAGCACAGTGTTTCCTCAAAATTACTGATTGAGTTTTGGGACTGTAATACTTTGGGCTTTCTAATAGTAACTAAGCCATTAACTTCTCTGTAGACTACAGATGATGTCAGGTACCAGATTTCTGCATTACATAATGCTGATACTCAGGATGGTTTAGCAAAGAGTGCCCCCCAAAGTTTGCTGCTGTGCCGTTTTCCAGCCTCTCTGAAGGACTGCTTAACTGTATTGGGAGAGGGTGTGTGGGGTGCAGAGCTACAGCTTTGTTGTCTTGGAGCTGATGTGTGCTGCAAGGGAAATGATGATGCCTGCTTGTGAGTACTAGAAGCAGTTGGAAGCTGGCTTCTTCCTGTGCATGACAGTAGGTACAGACGCTTGCGCAGGTGTGTACCTGTGTGTATTTAAGTCTTTCATTTCTCTCTTTACAGTCACTTTGCAAACCACCTTCTGGTGTCTTACTGACCACCAGTGGCTGCACTCAGCAAGACAAGTAGCTCTGCTTTAAGTGATGATGTCACAGAGTGTGGCTTTGCTCTGTGTCCTGTGTGTACTTGCTGTAAAGTCTTGCTGGGATGCTAAGTTTCCTGGCCTTCACATGTACCAGATAGGGCTTTCGCCAGAGGGGTAGGATTTTCTTCCAGTCAACTGCTCAGGAATAAGAAATGGGAGAACAGGAGAAATGAGTGTGTTATAAAATTACAAATGTTAGCGGTAATCTCATAATAGCATAAGAAATACACTGCACTGCTGGGTCCGATCAGGGGTTGATCCAGCCTAGTATTCTATCTTGGGTAGTAGGAATAGATGATGCTATTTAGGAAGAGCATGAAGACCCAGCTGCTTTAAGTGTTTCCTTCTCCACCATCCATATTTGTTAAATTAGACAGGCTAGGAGGTACATCACTTATGTCCCCACTGTCTATGAATTTTTCTATTGTTTTTTTGAACCTGATGATACTTCTATAGCCTCTTGTGACAGGAAGGTCTAGCAGTTCACTAGCCATGAGTGGTAAAAATGAAGTGCTACTTTAATGTTTTGAGTCAGTCTCTCACTAGCTTCATGAAGTGCCCGTAGTTCTAATATTGTGTGATATAGTATACAATTGTTCTGTACTGACCTTATACCCTACCAGGATTTTTTAAACTTCACTCATGTCTTACATGATTTGGCAATGGCACACATACATTTTTTTATCCTTCTCTGTTCTTTGCCATGTTGCTTCTGATCAGCTCAAAATCTTTTATTCAGAATCAGTTGTTTAAGGAAAATTAACGTTCTTCAAGAAGCAGCCTCTGGTTTCTCTTTCATGGGTTGTGGCTAATGCTAGTTTGAGTATATGCAGGCATAAGCTATGTTTCTATGCAGGCGTATATTATGTTTCTGTTGAACCTTTCTACATCTTCAATGTAGAGTGTAAATGCAAACCTCAAAAATAGCTTCCGGAAAGTTTTGTTCCCTGATATTTTTGCAGTGAAGTACAGCTGCTTAAGCATTTGACTTTTTCCAGGGGAAGTCCATGTTTCCGTCATCTCTTACTGAATCCTGTGGGACAAAAATAGTTTCTCCCCCACCCACTGTTTAGCTAAGTGTAGTTTCAGTTCTCTTCAGTTAAGCGACATGTGTCTATTCCATGTTTGTGCTACTTTTTTATGTTGCAACAAAAAGCTCTGTTAAGAACTCCTATATATTTTGTTCAAAATAAAATATGCCATCAGATTAAATCATAATAAGTAGATTCAACAATCTTTGTTATTTATATATATAAATATAGATATGGTAAGCCATGGAATTAATAAATAAAAAAAGCTATTTTTTTAGATTATGTGCAATCTCAGCCCCCGATCCTGCCAGTGTATACGCATAGAACCACTGTCTTTTGGGAAGTCTGTGTAGGAAACTACCAATAAAGATATAATTGCAAGGTTGTGAGTGTTGCAGTAGGCTTTTTTAAGGTAACATTGGCTGCTAGGTGTATTAGCTTTGCTTTTGTTTGTTGCACTAATTGATTGCTATCAGGATTTTTAACATGATTATATTTGCATGAGCATCTCTTAGTATATATATAGACCAAAAATTGGTGTTCATGCTCATTGATTTCCCTGAGGAGTATTGTCAGTATTTTTTGCTTAAACGTTTCATACGGCATTGTACTTGGGCCCTGTATCTTTCAGACAAACGAGAAGTAAAATACTATGTTTGCCTTGACACAGTCAAGTTAAATGCAAAAATAAGACTTAATTATGAGTTAAATCCAAAACTAAGACTGGGGACACAAGAATAAACCCGGCATTATAGTGGCTGGGAACTGTGAAGCAGTTTCTTTACAGAAGCTTAATGGAGGCACATCAGGTATATATTTCTTGCTGGTTGCTTTGGAATGTTCTGAGGTACTCTTTTTCTTTGGTCTGCTGCCTGATAACCTTCAGAAAAGAATGTTGCTGGGTTGTGCAGAAAAGGAGAAGGTCATTGATCTGTCAAAAGCTCTGCAAAGCATGGTAGTAGCTTGAAAGAAGGTGGTAAATAAAACAGAAGTAGCAGCACGTGAGTCACTCCAGCTGAAAGATGCACTCATTCTGTCAAATTTTTCATCCTGTCCAGTATGCCACCAAATAAAAGCTTCAGTTGTGTGTATGGGATGCAACTAGTTAAGGCTAAGACAACTTTTTTGCTGCCGTAGTAATGGAGGAGGCTGTATCTCATATGGGACCCAAACCCAGATCACCCGTCATCACCCAGAGCACCCCAAGCCCTGTGTCACCATGGGATTTATGTTTTTATTTCATGTTGTTGCTGAAGTGTGTGTCAGTATGTGCCTTAAAGGTGTCTGAAAGGATTATTTGCTTCCTAGCATGCCAAAGAAGAGAGGGTTCCCTCTTTCCATTCTGTTTGTATGAAGAGCATGGCCAACTTTATTGTTCTTAATACTGATGTGTTGTGAAGGGTCATACTCCAATGATTGATTTCAGTTATATATAGTAAGTGCTCCTTACTTTCATGTACTCGTAATGCTTGCAGGCATTGAGGGAAGTTGGGAAAGGTGACTGGAACTGGATTCAATATCTGTGTTTGTGTTGTGGTTATCCGGTATAAACAAAACGGGAGGCCTCTACCCCTGGGCATGTGTGCTTGCATGTGTGCGTGGAAGGGGAATTTTGTATGAAGAGGAAATGTGAAATGATCCTTATTATTGTCAAATGATTAATCAGGTCACTTGCGCTAGTTATGTTTTGTAGCGCGTCTCCATTCCGTCTGCTGTGCATGCTGCACATGTACAACTGTTTCAGTAATTTTAAGTGTGTTTTTAAATTTTTAGTAGTCTTCTGTCCTTCTGCTCTTAGATAATATGCTAATGTAAGGCCTGGTTTATACAGTTTACTGTTAGAAGTGTGATAGGGTGTTTTGTTTTGCCCTGGTGACCTAAAGATGCTTTTGTAGGTCCTCCAGTGCCATAGTGCTTTTCGTTTTCTCATGGTACATTTACACAGTGAAAGGTGAAGCCTTATACCTTCACAAGAGGAAACTGCATATTTCCTCAAAAGTCCGTATAGGTTCCCTCCTTGCACTCATGTTCTTGCCGTTTCAGGCCTTGGGAATAAGTAAATTGATTGGGGTGGTAATCTGACAAATCGGTACGTTTGTCACATGCCTCTGATTTATAATGTATTTCCTCATTATCACCTCTGTGTACATTTGTTTGCTTGGTATATGACACATGAAACAGAACTGAGTGACGAATATACCATGTTTAAAAGCATTTATTCCAGTGAATATATGGTGTTTCAAAGAGTTTATTCCAGTACTTTTGGGATGGCCTTTCTGAATAAGAGCTGCCTTTGAAGGCTAAGCTGAGTGTAGCTGAGTAGCTGCAGAGTATGTGTACTGTTAATTTTATTTGAAGCTACTTTGGGTTTGTTTGTTTTCTTTGTTTCTTTGTTTGGGTTTTTTGTTTGCTTGTTTGTTTTTTTAAAGATGATTGCCAAAGACTCCGTAATGTTGGGAAATGAAAAGTATGATTGCATGAGTTTGCACTGTAGGAGTCTATTTTAGAGTGAGGAAAAAACCCCAGCCTCTTGCTGAAATATTTCAGCTCTCCTGGCATTGATGGGAGTACTTTCTCCGACATTATTAATGATCACATTTACCTAAAATTAGTACAAGGAGGTAGGAAAAGCTCTGAAGAGCCGTGATGACCTCAGGAAAGACTGCATATTGATGCTTGCAGAAGCTGCGGGCAGCCGCAAACTCTGAAGACTGTTTATCAGTAATGGTCTTCATGGCAAAGAAAGCTTTAAAACCAAAAAAGCGTCCTTGCACTGCTTGATGAAATTAAAATTTTGCAGAGCAGGGGTAGTCACCAGCCTTTTTGTAAGCAGATACTGGAAGTAAAACCTCTGCATTCAAATGGGTTAATTATCATTCAACTTGATTCCTGAAAGCAAGTGATCTAATCTGACACTTAACCTTTTTCAACTTGTAGCTTCCAGTCGCTGTATGGTAGATGAGTAGAGTTTTGTTTAACAGGTTTAAGTGCGGTGGCAGTAGCATTATCCTCCCCCCTCCCCCGCCCCAATAATTTCCTTTCATGGTTTCCAATGATCTGTGAATACTGATTGAAAGCTATTGTGCTAGCAGATTTGGCTTATTGGGTGCTAACTGAACCACAGGTTTAGTGACTGCACCTGGCCACTTAGTTCTTAAGCAGTAATAATATCTATTTTATTCTGTCTGACTTTGACCTTTTTGATATTTTCCTTAGACAATCTACTTCATCTTGACTCATCATCATTCCAGGATAGAGGTGTCCTTGGGGCTCTCTCTTAACACTGATATGGTACAGAAGATTTAAAATCAGGTATTGTTCTGGGTCCCTTTTTCCCACCAAAATGAAACACACAATCTAGAACTGAATGCCTTTTATTTTTTTCCCCCTTATGTGATTTGTCTTAACATTATGATTCTTTCAGCTGATGTTCACAAGGAATAGAGTCACGTGATGTATGAAGGCAAACACATACACTTCTCTGAGGTTGACAATAAGCCCTTGTGCTCATATAGCCCCAAACTGTGCAAGCAGAGGCGACTTAACGGCTACGCCTTCTGTATCAGACACGTTCTGGAGGACAAGACTGCCCCCTTCAAGCAATGTGAATATGTGGCCAAGTATAACAGCCAACGCTGCACCAACCCCATCCCCAAATCTGAGGATCGTAGGTGAGTTGTGGTTACCTGTTACAAAGTGGTAAGTGGCTGGGACATAGGCGTGAGCTTTCTTTTACGAGGCTGCCTGGTTTCAGAGTGAGGAAGGAACTGACCTAAGTGGATTGAATTCCAGGAGGGAATTTTTTAACAGTTTTAACACCAGTAAACTGTATTTTATTTTCTGTGGGAGCCAAGTACTCAGGAGACAATAACGTGCTGCCAAGGAAGTTTCTGGGAGTTTTTTGCTTTTCTCAAATTCACTATAAACTGTGGATCAAACCTACTATGCACTACCTGCTGTTCTAATTAATTTGCTCTGTCACTCACAGTATATGCTCTTAGAAAGGCCTGCTTGTTTGGCCAGCTGTGCCAAAAGCACACTTGCATCTGCTTTTCATGACAAACAGTTGAAAATGCATACCTTCTGGGCTTTGGGAGCAGTGACACATGGGGGCAAATCCAGAATTACAATTCAGTGTTTGTGATTTGGTATTGATATGTAGTGTTGTATTACTGGATTAAAATAAATATTTCTTAATAACAGATGAACCAGATGGGAAAGTGATGTCCACTCCCATTTCTTCTTTGCTTCCCCGCTTCATCTGCCCCTCTTCCCAAATAGAGATGCCCAGGGTGCCCAGGTATTAAATGTCTTGCAAGAGATAGCACTTGCAGTTGTTGGAGAGCTGGGAATTCAGACCATATTTACTGAATTGCAGCCCATACTGCAACCGCAAGGGCATTCTTCTTTGCTTTTTAAGGCTTTATGAACACCAGTGTCATTGGTGTTGCTTGGGTTGAAATAGTAGAATTTGTCTTGTCTTGTCTGCCAGGTATATATGACTTCAGTTTTTCAGTCAGTTGCATGCTTTGCCTGCAACTCAGTATTTAATTAATGTGTATGTTAACTATCTGAGGCTTGATCTGTTAGAAGTGATTTTTTAACCTAAAATATAAACAAAATATGCCAAAACCGAGTCAAGCCACCATTCACTGACCTTTCACATTATGAGCTGCTATTCACTAACCTTTTGCATTATTAGTCGTGTTCCCACTGTGCCCTACATACAACTTCCTTCTCAGCTCACAGCTCCCTCTCTTGTCTGAAACAACAGTTGGACTGTGCTCTAAATTAACTTGCACTTCACCTGCCATTTCAGTTGAGGAGACTGATGAAGTGAGAAAAAACCATGAATGTTTGTCAAAAGCTGTAGGGCAAATGCTCAAATGGCACAAGATGAATAACTTTAAGCTGTAATTTGACAGTCGGTGACTGTTTCTTTGCTGCTGTACAATTGAAGCTCTTTGGAAATAAGCTTGCAGAAATGATCATGGAAATTGTTAGCACAAATGGTATGCTGTAATTTCAGATGCAGGAGCTGACTGAACCAGAGTTGCTGTTTACCAAGGGTCATACTTAAAAACAATAGAAATAACACCACTTAATGACACTTTTTTAGGTCTTATATGTTGCCATGGAATTTGAGATTTTTCTTTACACCTTGAATTGAGTTCACACTTTGTTCTTTTTGATTTTTCTCAAGTTAAAGTGAAGTGTGGTCATGACATCTGGTGTATGTTATATTAGAATAATTCAATTGCATGTCGAGTGTCATATTACAGTACTTGAAGAGGACAGCAGGTGTCTGAAGGAGAAAATAAACTTTTAATTTCAAATGAGAGGATGTGATAGTTTGAAAGAATATTTTAAAAGACTGCTTCTTAGGGCAGAGCTTAACTTTAACAATAAAACTTAATGAATGCGACTGTGCCTGCTCTAAACTTCCTCTTTTTTGGCAGGCAAACCTGTATCTGTTTCTTAGGTGACTTTTTTCACACTCCATTTGATATAAAGATCTTTGCTATGTCTGAGGTCTTCACTCATAGCTTTTAATTTTCTGTGTACAAAATTGCTGTCAGATGGTCATTTTGTCACAGTTGTAGACATGTAACTGTACATGATCAGAAGCAGGCTGTATGATGCTCTGACAGCTATCTTTCTGGATACTTTTAAAGATGATAAAAAGAGTCTTAACAGGACACATGCATTACATTCCAAAAGCTTCATAGTCTGTCCACAGATAATTAAAAAAATTATCACTTGACCTCAGACAAATGAGATGCTACCAGCCACAAAGATGTTTAATATGCTCCCATAATAGTAGATTTCTTGTTAACCATTAACATTCTGCAAATTAAATCTATTAATAGTGCATGACTTCACTACTTTATTTGAAGTCTAGTTTCTCTATTCACTATCTTGCTTTTTTTAAAGAGTCTGCATGGGGTGATACAGACATGGGTTCTGTATATGTATGCCCTCTGAATATGTTCCTAATTCTTTTTTAGCCAAATATATGCATAAATGCTGAAATTCAACTTCATTTTTAAGTACAGGGTTATTACAATTTAGCTGGGTTAAGTGCCATTTTATCTCTAATTCTCCTCTTTCAAGAGAATCTTTAAAATATTTTGTTAATATGCAAGATGCTTTCCAGTTTATTTGGATCTACATTTAAATAAGGGACAGAACGCGATACCAGTCTGGGATGTACTGGGAAGCAGAATGGAGTTGTATGTGGAAAGCCATGCCCTGGGATGTACTGGGAAGCAGAATGCAGTTGTACATGGGAAACTGTCCAGCTGAAGCTTTCAGAGCCTGTCACCCTTTGTGTGTCTCATGTTACAATAGTTTTAGTGGATATCAACCCACTGCTCTTACCATATGTGCTCATTGCATTTGACCTCACCTGCACAAAATAAGTGCCTTTGTCACCGAGTAGGGAAGGGGTGGAAAAGACTATATTAGATAACTCCATGTGATCCTGTTAGCTGGGAGTAACTCACAGGCAGGTTGTAGAAGTGACAAATTGAGCCACTAAGACAGTCGCATCAGAATTGGCTCTCATAGGGCCAGCTTGACCGTAACAGGTTTCACACTCAGAGCTATGTGGAAGGGCCTGTGCTACTTAGAGGTGCTGTTCCGGTCTTCCCAGTAATCTGTCATCCATGGTTATGGCTTAAACCCAGCCAAAACACAGTGCTGTACCAGCTACATGGAAGAAAATTAACTCTATCCCAGCCAAAACCAGGAAAACTACTAACGCCTTTCCTGGCATTACATCTGATCCAAAGTGTTTATTGCCTTAAGTCGGCTGGTTATAGACTGGTTCTGGCCAAGTCAGTTAATATCTGCAGCACTGTGTAAAGTCAGAGCCCATTTGGACCAGGGCCAACAAAAATGTCATCCTAGAACTTGAAGGATGGGGAAGTTGGTGTGTATGCCTGCCTGGCTGTGCATGGGAATAGCTAGAGCCTGACAAGGCCAGGGTTGGGTTGGTGCTATTAAATTATGTCTGGCCAAAACTGCCTGTGTGTAGTCTCTCTAGCCAGAGAGAGAAAGACCTAAGCACTCTTCCCAGTTTCTTCTTGCTTCTTTTACTCCAAGGTGTATCAACCTCAGTTGTGCTGAAAGGCAGAGAGTTGATAAGAGCCTAAAGCACAGAGCCAACTCAATGTGTACAGGAGTCTGCAAGTGCTTGTGATCTATGTTTTCATTATGTTGTAGCCTGGCATCTATGAGTTTGTGTCCAGAGGTGTAAGATATAGTTGATCCAGTGATGCAGTATGGTCAGTTGTAAGAGCCAAAGCTTTGTTCTGTGCCATATAAAAATGATTCTGTTACGGTTAAATGAACAAGCAAAACCCTTGCTAGCCTAAAACTCAGAGAATGTTATCAAGCTTCTTACCTGTTTATTTACCTTATCTATTATTTGCTTTCTCTTTGTTTTTCACAATGAAAACACACAAGCTAGTTTTACCTTCTCACTTTGGCACAAGCACAAAGTGGCAATATTTAAGTTCTGAACAATAGGAAGGAAGCATTCACGTGCAGCACAGCTCTCTTTTAGTTAGAATTAGAGGGGGGGAAAATCCCCTTGTATTTTTTGTCTGTTTATTGTTTTGTTTTCTGTCATACTTAAAGTGCAGTTGCAACTGATCTTAGTCTTGTTCAAACAAAATACTTTAAAAGTGCTTAATTGTAATTTTGGGAATAGTGCTGTTAACTTTAAGGAAAGCTTTGTTGAGCCCTCATTATATAATTTTATTTTTAGAAGTGTGTATCTCACTATGAATTTACAGTATTCCAGTGTGTTCTAATAAGGATTTCACACATCGCTGGCTTTCAGCTTGCCTCATCTAGATTTATTTATTGCTTGCAACTTAATTATTTAGACAATAATAAGTAGCTGTACTTTTCAGCCTTTTCTGATTTATGAGTCCTTATGGGTGTGGATGCTTCAAGAAGCTACTTATATGGAGATTGTTAAAGAGCATATATGAATTTGCTTTTTCGGTTTTTACCTTTTATGGACCCTTTAGAAGCAATTCATGCATTGTTTCTTTAGGGGTGGTTCAACAGGCTGGAAGTCACTAAACTGAAGTGTTAAACCTGGAGGGGGGGTGGGGGTGTTGGTTTGGGCTTTTCTGCTGTTTTTTCTCCATGAAGACCAGGAATAATTTAATTTTAATCTATTTATTCGAAAAAGCCCTTTTCTTGGATTTATATTGACTGGATTTTGAAGAATACCTTCATGGGTGTTTCCTTATCTTATCCATAGATACACTGATGTAGACATCACTCTTTCCCCATATCTTTGTTTTCATCTATAAGCTGCACGTTATAGGTGGAATCCTGCAAGGGCAGAAGTCTTGATTGCTGGTGGCATTCTACAGAGGCAGAAGGGGCCTGCCTGTGTGAAACAGGAAAAGGATCAGATAATAGTTTCTACATTTCTATTAACTGCTTGTTTTAATCAGACAAAGATTAATTGTTTACTTCTTAGTATGTTTTTTTTTAATCTGTGGCCATAAGTTGCAACTCTTTCCTTTTAATTTTCGTTACAGACTTTCAGAGGCTTGTTTTTTTTCTTTTAATAACATGACTTTCAAAGCTTTTTTTAATACATGTATTAGAAGAGTTTAAAATCCATGTTTATGGATTGTATGTATACATATTCCTGTCATTGTGTAAACATTTTCTAGCAGCAGAGAACTTCTTTTAAACTAGGTTTTTGTTTGAAGAACATTCAGCTAATTCTCTGGCTACAAAATTCGTCATGTTAAACTACTATTAAGTATTTATGCTACTTGTTCATCAGGTGCAAATAGTGACCCTTCTCAGCAGGTGTCTGTAGTGAGATTGTCCATATAAGAAACTGCTCCCTACTACAGTGGAATTAATAATAATACTAATGTGTGTACTGATGAAAATGTTAGCTACTTCCAGTGAAAGAACAGTCAAATGGAAGGAAGTAGTCTTCAGTGTACTTTTTCTTGGGAGCTTTTCAAATGATCGGATTTAATGGCTTGAGTTCTTGCTGGTTTATGTGTCAAGACAGTCCATTTGTTTTGTTCACTTTGTTTTGTGAGTATTTACCCTGTTAGAGAGTAAATATTTTGAATGGTTGTGTGTGAATTTCCTTTGAGTAATGAATGAAGACTTTTATATCTTGAGATTACAAATTGTCACTTGTAAGTTTTTGTTTTCTCTTACAGGTTGGGAACACCACAGTTGTCTGTTGTATTAGAAACAGTTGTGTACGCTTCTTATAAAACCTCTTGTGTTTCAATCTGTATTCACGAGATTGAGGGGGCTTTGCTTAGTGATGTCTGTTTTCTTCAGATTTTACTTACAGGAGTTGAGTTAGTCACTGACTGCTTTTACTTTTCAAAGGTACTGCAACAGCCACCTACAGGTACTTGGCTTTATACCGAAAAAGGAGAGGAAGAAAAAGAATGATCCCATAGAGGACGTAAAGGTCAGGCATCAGATGGATGCTATGGCCTTCAGTCTGACAGTGCCCACCCTGGCCTTGAAGATGCCCAATGGACTGGATGGGATGTCCCTCTCCCCTCCAGGGGCTAGGCTTCCTCTCCACTACCTGGAGGCAGAATTAGAAGACCCCTTTGCTTTCAATGAGGAGGATGATGACCTAAAGAAAGGGGCGACGGTGAGGAAAAAGTTGCAGAGCAAGTTGGCTCAAAACCGGCAGCGCCAGAGAGAGACAGAGATTTTAAAAGTTCGCCAAGAGCACTTTAGCCCCCTTCCTGCACCTTTGCAGCAGCAGCCTCTGCAGCAGCAGCGCTCCCATCTGCCACCTTCATCAGCTTCGTTAAAGCCGACAGGGCTACCGCAGGGCGTAGTCTGCAAGTCACCTCAACCTCCGAACACCAGCCTACCAATGCAGGGAGTGGCACCCACCACACACACTATAGCACAAGCCCGGCAGTTGTCTAACAAGAGACCTCTGCCTCTCCTGCCACCCGCTAGGGCTCCTGTCACGGACCCTCCAAGGACTGATCGGGTCCTCATGAAAGCCACAGCCTTCTCTCCGCACTCGTCCTGCATGAGCCGGCTACAGAGACTGGTGAAACTGTGCACTCGAAAACAGCAGCTGGAGACTGATCTGTTTCCACATTTAGGTGGGTAGATAATAGAGGCACTGCCACTTCTTTTTTTTTTAACTTGAAAAAGGGAAATATCTTCCTAGCTCTGTCCTGCATTTGTGTGTTGCCCTGACAAATAACCCTGACTAGGTAATATCTGGATGTTTTCTTAAGCCCTAAAGTGCTCAGGGAATGCCTGGACCCATCCAGCATGGTTTACAGCATTTTGCTTGTTTCTTAATGTTCTGTTAACCATTTGGGAAATCAGTCAGAAGTGTAGAAAACACTGCTTGTATGATACAGGCATTGTATAGAAGGTTCGCAACTCCAGTAATAAAGGTGATGCCAGCTGTACCTACACAAGTGAGCAAAGTCAGAGTGATAGCTGTGTGACAAGTGCACATTACAAAATGAGCGAAATTAAAAGTTTGGAGATTTAGTCCATCATTCTCTGCAGATCCAAATTTCCAGTGGCCTGGGAGAATTGAAGCACAAGAGAATTTTTCTTGATGGGGCCTATTGGTGTATGGAATACGGATGAGCAAAAGCAAAAGACTACTGCAGGAGGGCAGCACCGTTACAGAAGATAATTGGAGAGGTGGAGTCTTGTCCGCATTCCAGAGCAGGAATAATTTCCTTCTTATTATCTAGGAATCATTACAATCACTTGCTTCTTGAGAAGATGTAAGTTAATATAGCCAACTTGCTGCTAGGGCAGTAGTACTCTCTAAAGCATTAAAAAGGTAGCTGATCTCATGGCTTATTTGTCTGATTATGAATGCAGACCTAGGTAGACCTAGGCAAACTTGTTTTCTCCCTCACCTTCCAAAGTCACCTTACTTTTCTGGTTAGATTGAGCTTTTCTAACAAGTAAAATACTGACGCTGGTTAAGAGAAATGGGAATCGGTGGGTGATACTAGAGAAGGAATGCCTTTTATGATGGGCCTTTCTTTAAAAGAAAAAAAAAAGACTTCAAATAAATCTGGACATTTTTCATACAGCATCTTATTTAATTGAAAGCATCTGTAATTTTTGCTATTTCAATTAACCTTTTTTAATTTGCTATTAAGATCTGACCTTTGGCACTCATGGGATAGCTTGGCTATTTGTTCAGAAGATAATTAGTGTCCCATAGCATGTCTCCAAAGGAGGTTGTTCTTCAGAAAACCTCTTTGATGGTCCTATATATAATGCAGGTCTTTTGAGGAATGGCAACTCCAGAGGCGCTTCTGAGTGTCACAGACCCCAAAAGCTTAGAAAGTGACCCATGTTTTGAGAGACTGTAGAAACATCACTTTCTGTGTTTAAAGTTTCACATTCTCAAGTGGTGAAGTGAATACACTTTCCTGAAAAAGAGGCATAGTACAAGAACTGATTAGACCTACGAACATGTGCATCTGCATAACTGTATGTGTACGCAATTAGAACATTTTCTATTTGGCAAAGTAACAGAATTCACGTATTAATTATGTGAGAGTGGAAAAAACCATTTCTTATTTATTCATAATATGCCTTTATATTAAGGACTGCTTATGCTGGTTCAGAGAATTTCAGGATTTCTTTTTTATAACAGAGTAGCACTGGAGATGACTACACAATATTTAAAAAGATGCAGCTAGTTTTAGGTGTACCTACATCATAGCCAAGTAATTGGATATTAATGTAACTGCAGTCTTCAGTGTGAGTATAGCTGAATCTGGATTAGATTTTATTCCTTCATTTCTGCAGTGCCCATTAGAAGCAATTCAGAGCAATCTCTGGTTTTATTTTTAAACTTTAGGTAAATAATTTGTTACATGGTAACAATTGTGGACATCTTTATCCAGTTACCGAGTTATTTTATTCATTAATGGAAGGGGTGGGAGTTAACAAGTTGAAGGTAAATTCTGGCATTTTATTAAATGTCTTAATAGATTTGAGTTTATTTCAAACGAATATCTTGAAAATAGGAATGAAGAATAGAATTTTCAGGATGCTGAAGTTCTGAAAAATATGGTTTCTGATATTGATGGTTTATGTTAAAGTGTTGCTTCTCAATGATGAAGGTGCTCTTGATGGTGGGTGGTATTCTAAGTATGTGTGTCTAACTCTGAAAGCAGGTGACCAAGTACTGATGCATTTACCAAAAAGCATCTGACTTCAGAATCATCTCAGATAGAGTTGTTTAGTTTATTTTAGCAAAAATAAAGTGCTCCTTAACTCTGCCCCAGCTACTGCTCCATTTTCAGGGAGCACACAAGAAAGTGAAAACGTAATAACGCTGGCTTGTAAATGCAGTTATGGGATTTTATCCCACGTGCTGCAAGGAATTGGCAAGGATTCCCCTGGATGTGGAGAGATAGTAGGAAAAACTGCAAAAGGTGAAGCTCCAGATAAACTGTTCCACCTGAAAACTTGCTGGACTCTGCTTCTGGCTGTCCTGTTCAATTGTGTTTAGCTTGACTGAGGCTGCTGGTTCATACAATAAGTTGATCCTACTGCATCATCATTAAGCAAAAGCATGCTGCTTAGCAAAAGTGCAAGAGCATTTGCATCTCTCCCTTAAGCTCTCTTTTCATGCTAATGTATGCATTTGGCAGGCATTTACAGAGGCTGAGCAGAGGAGCATTCTGTGTAGCTGTGTGTCTATCTCTGTCCATGCTGTTCTGTTTTGCAGTTTTCCTATTCTCCCTCTATTCTGGCACAGAGGAGGGGTCAGAATATGAGCAGAAATGAAAGTGACCTATTTAGATCATACAGTATTAAAAATTACCAGGCACTCATTTCCTCATGGCAGGGAGTTCTCTGTTACCTCTTCTCTAAAGATCTCGTGTGCTTGGTATGAAAGCTGGAATATTTTTCTGTATTTGAGAAAGCTGGTCATCTTTCTTCCACTGCTTGTGGATGAAGAAGCCAATAAGGATTTTTAAAGGCAAACTCAAATTTGACAAAAATCAGTGCATGCTGTTTGCGCACTGTAATGGAGCTGTTACTGTAACTTTTCCTATATAATTGAGGATATTATATGACTTTCTCAAACATAATTATGCTTGTGACTATACACACATTCATCTTCTGTACTATAGTTTGCTCAGAGACTTGTATGAGGTAGATACACTTCTCATCCAGCTTTCATGTTTTCAATTCCCTTAGGGCTGGATTGGTCTGAAGACAGTGGAGAAGAGTTGGAAGATTCAGAGCAAACCTCCCCTTACCAGGTTGCATGGTCTGTCCGAGAAACTCTCGGCTATGATAGACATGGGTGAGTATAATTCTTTAGTATTCATGTTGGCACTGGTGGAATAAATCATGTAAATGTGAGCTTCAAGTGGAGTTAGTAGAATTTAAGCACTTGTTCAAGTGCTTTGCTGAAACAAAGGATTGTTTGAACTCATTTGTTTGTAAGAACTATGAAACAGCTTGTCACCTTCTGTCCCAGTTTCCACCTGACTTAGACACCTTTGTGCAGTCTGCTATCAGAAGGATGCATCGGGAAATAATTCAAGCTTATTTGCCTAAATTTAATTGAGTTTGGTTGGATTTATTCATTAACTTGCATGCCTTGCTTAGTAGAGATAATTCCTGAATTAGAACCAAATGAAAGTAGTTGACATTGGTTTCTTGTCTTTTCTACTGTCTGTGAATGGCTTTATTAGTAAACTTGCTACATTTTACTCATTAATCTTTACAGTAATTGTGCAGGATGATGTTTCAATGTGGTTTTTTTTAAAAGGGTAAGGCACTTTTCATAATTAAGTGTTGAATAAACCTCTGTCAAATAGTTGGGAGCATGGGAGAAAGTGTTGTGATTGAAGGGATAAGCAGAGCTGGTGCAGAAAGACTTACAGTGTTCTCCGTATGCTGCTACATCATAAATCTGAACTTACAGCAGAATATGATAATATATGTCTATTAATGTAAACATTTTAAAGTGCAAAGTTAAAGCAAAGCATCCCAAGCATAGTATTTTAACAGAACTGAAGCATGTTGATAACAAAATGAAATTTGGGTCTCAAAATTTGTGCTTTTTATAACATGATTCTCTTTCACTAAAACTGGACTTTTTGAGACTACAACTCTCTCTAATTTTTAAATATCACAGAGTAATGATGTTAAAGAAATGTTATTTTGCTGTTACATGAAAATTCTGAAATTTACCAGCACTTCTCACCATCTCTAAAGTCTGCCCACAAGGTGAACAGCTTAGCTCTATCTGCCATGAGGACAGACACCAGGATGCTGCATACAGAGAGCCTTCAGTGAAATCAAAGCTGTGTAGACTTAACAGGAAAAACCCCTTCTTTGTAAGAAAGTTATAAATGACCATTGTTTTTTAGGGCATCAGCAGTCAGAGAGACTGAGCTTTCACAAACACTAATTTTAACTTAAAAGACAACTTTTAACTGTTTTGGGAAAACATGAACAGACTTTCAGACTTTTAAATCATACATAATTTTCAGAGCAGACATATCTGTTAAATAACTTCACTTGAACTCATCTCTCTTTGACATTTGATCTGCTTTTCCCATAGATCCTTTTTTTTTTTTTTGTAAACTTATAAAGGTCATCTCTGTGTGTTCTGTCTTCTATTTGTCTTAACATCCTTCAGATTCTTCCTATTCTTTTCACATACTGAGAGAAAAGAATAGCTTGTCTGGATGTTTTCTATTCCATTATAGCATTTTTTGCACGTCAGTTAAACACTGTCTTAACTAACCATGATGGATAATTTTTTGTATGGTGCTAGCTGGTTTTGTACTTCCCATTAGCCTGCCCAGTGTTAGCTCTGTAACTACTTTCCTAATTTTGTTTATAGATAAATATTGATGCATTCACTTGATGTCAGACTTCTTAAACTTTAATTCCTATTCTGCAAGCTTCTGTAGTGGCATCTATTACCTGTAATGTTTCACCTTAACACTTCTGCAGTGGTCTGGCTGCTGCTAAAAACGAATTATCTCAGGCTATTTCTTAGGTGATCCGAGTTGTCAAGACTCTGTCTTGCTAATCTGGAGTGGTGTCTCCTAACTTAGTAAGCCAATGACTTGTTATGAGTCTGAATTTTACCAGGAAACCAATGGAGATTGTTTCCCAAGACCTTTAGATTCTGAAATCACATACCTGAATTTTACTATGAAAGCTACTTTTTCCTCTGTTCACTTGTGTTTGAGCTCATGGTCCCTGTGCAAGAGGGGTAATTCTCCACCAGCTAACTCCATTCTTTTTCCGTTTGACTTCGTGGAACACAGTGGGAGTGATGCTTCTCAGAACAGATCAGTAAAAGAAAGCCAAGAATCAATTTCTTTGTTACTGGACAGCTTGTTCTCAGCATTTCTGGTTGTGTGATTATGAGGGTAATGTAACTTCCTGTTGAACTTTTTTGTGATACTCTAGCTGCTCTTAAGCTATCAGAAATTCACCGGATTGATTTAAAATTCAGGTCTTAACAGTAATACATTTTTGAGTTCACCTGTGTTCTGGCCTTTAAATCTGTAAAACTCATGTTGTTCCAGTCATTTGTGTAAACACAGGGCAAATGTTTGCTTTTATTATTCTGTCCTTTAATTTTGAAAAATTGGGGTTCCTGTGTGTCACAGGGTTCCAGGATGCAGTGCTTCGAGGCAGGCATGTTTGAATTCACATAGTAGTGCAGGAGTTGGCGCTGGACACAGTGCAGACAGGAATTCCCTACAGGAGCAGTGATTTGGAGGGAAAGCAGGGGCTGTTCCCAGCCATAGATTAGTGAAGCTTCCCCCCAGATGATTCAGTTACTAGATCTTGCAGCTTAGAAAGTGCTGGAAAACAGATGACTTTAAAACAAAGTAGTTTTTCACTTCTTATGCTGAAATACAGATAAAGTGAACATTTCAAGTAGCGAGTTTGAAAACGGAGTGTGAAGGTTGGAGGCCTGCCTCATACCAGCTCACTCAAAGGAGGAAATACCACTACCGTATTGTGGAAGTTGGATTTAGTAGCTCCCTGTAACTAGGAGAACTAAAAAGAAGGGAAGGTTCTTCAAATCCCTCCTTACAGAGGGTTTTGAAGCATAGTTGTTGAGGTGTCTCAGACTAGAGAGTGTATTCTCCTGGTTCCCTGGTGGTGCCTGGCTGCTCCCAGCTACCCTTTTGCTCTTCCTTTCTGCTGCTTCATGCTGCCTTCGTTTTCTTCATGAACACACAGCGATAATTCCCCTGATGTTTACATATGACAGTCTTAAAGGGGAGGGTTGGGAAGGAGCATTTTGGATTATCAAATGGTTTGTGTGCACTTTCATAGGAAGGAAATGCCACACATTAAGTTGAACTTTGAAGTTTTGTATGCAGCTTAAGAGAATAAACTGAACAGAAGTTGGTAAACTTGTTTATGAAGAAACAATAAAAGTACCTTTCAGTTTCAGTACTTGCCTAATGAAGAAAAAAAAAGGCAGTGTTATTGTGATATTTTTAGGTTTCTTTAAACATATGTTTCGTTTAATGTTGCTGACCTGGAAACAGAGTTCTGAATAGACTTTTAGAAACTGCCTCAAAATAAGCCTTTGCCCATTGCAGGCATGATGTCTTTCTATGTCTTGTATGTGTGTCTTCATCTACTTCCTTAAAAATGATCTGGTAAACTGCAGTTCAAAATACTGTAACATAAGATGACTTTTCTCTGTCTATTTCAATAAGAGAGAAGTAAAAAGTCTCAAATATACGGACACTTGCATTAATAAACCATCTTTTCACCAGAAAGAAACACTGAGGAGTATTCCTGTCTTTTTAAAAACCTAATTTGTAACCATATTTAAAATTAAATCAGTATATATGCAACTTCATTTAAAAATCTTGGCCCAGAATCTGAGACCTTAAACCTACCTATACCTAATTGATCCCATCCATATATATTAAATAGCACACAATTAGATTTTTCTAAACAAGTTGTTTTTCCCAGTGGCCATTCTTGCTATCCCAGATCTTTCCATTGACAATGTTTAAGTTGTATTTGTTGCTAGGCACGTAACTGGAGAGGTTAATTACTTGTAATTTATGCTTCTAGAAAATTACCTGTATTCTGTTTTAACAAGCAAAATATGTAGTATGGTTGACTTTAGATAACATTATATAAAAATGTGTTTGTGTCAAGGCAGTGTTTACTCCTGTGGAGTAAATGTGGACAGCCTTAGTGGAGATGGATGCAGTCTCTTATATTTGGCCTGCATGTAAATAGAGTAAGAGTTTCCAGAAAGAAAAGTAGGTCTTAGTCATACTGCCTTTCAGGGATAGCTGTGCTGCCTCCATTTCTGGATCTTGCTTTATTTAGTAAATATAATGGCTGGTATCTTGCATCTCTTCTATCATTGGCTAGTTGGGGTCTACTTTGCTCTGCACAGGTTTGGATGTAAGCACATTCAGTGTCAGTGGCCAAGCTCTGCAGTCTGAACCCTGGGAGCTTTTAATTTCCTTCATTTGTTTGGATTTGGTTCTTTCCCCCTGCCATTCCTTTGTTTCACAGGTAGGGAAGTTAGCAGGAAGTTTCTCTGATCTGTAAGGAAAAACTGAACAAACTCTGCTTTGCTTAGATTCACTGCATGTACTTTGTTGCTCCATGAGCAAAAATTAATAATTCTACAAACTAGAGTTCTTGTTGTGGAGGGCTTCTGGGTAGCTTCGTAGGCCTTGTTGTTTTAAAAAGTCCCAGTGATGGTTTTATTGTTACATGATTTTTACTTCATTTAACTGAATGTGTTGTCATGGTTTGATGGTCTTGCTGACATGTATCTGGACATATGGAAAGCCAAGATAAATGGGAAAAGGCTTTCTTAAGCAGACAAAGAATTGGATTAGTGCTTCATCTGATCACTGCTTAGCATTGGTCTGATTTTTTTTCCCCTCAGTGCCTTTGAAGTTAAACGTGCATTTCTTCTCCGTGGCTGTATTGTAACTCAACTGTAACTCTGCAGCAAGGGGAAAGCAGTATCAGCTGCTAGGTGTGTTAAGTGTGTATATTTGTTAAGAAAGGAGTATGCTACCTGCAGCAGTAAGAGCAATTGGAAAAAGTCAGCAGTTTTGGTACTTGTTAATATTGGACCATCTTTTCCAGCATGACCTTTCTTCAATAAGCTTCCACTACATAGTTCCCCACCCTTGTCCTCTCCATTAATTGCACTTTGATTTAAGAGTTTGTCTCATTTGCTGAGACATTTACAGTAAATAAAGGTTAACAGTATAGATTTTTTTTTTGAACAGCAGGCTCCAGACATTTGAATGTGTCAGATTTCATGATGAATTGATGTAATCTCTAATAATGACATACTAAGAAGGGCAAGTACCTTTAGACTTCAAAAGGAATCCTGCTGTTACCGTTTCTCAAGCACCCCTGCCTGATTTCAGCCTTTGGGTGTTTGTGGGGCTAGAAGATGGATACCAACTTAACCAATCTATTAAAATGACAAATTAGTTTCCTTGGAAAAAAAAAAAATTAAAGTACTTAAAGCTTATTTGTTTTTATCTTCCCTTCCTTAGGTGCGGTGATGACAATGCAGATGACAGGAGTTCCAGGGTGACCAGACTTTGCACTTACTTTCAGCAGAAATACAAGCACCTCTGCCGCCTGGAGCGGGCAGAATCTCGTCAGAAGAAATGCCGGCACACACTCCGGAAAGCCTTGCTGCAGGCGGCCAGCAGAGAGCCGGAGCGTACTGGGCAACTGATACAAGAACTCCGAAGAGCTACGTGTGCTCGTACCAGGTTAGACCTTCCCCTGTGACTGGAGTAACCTGGGGTCTGGACAGGGTGGAGATGGACAGAATATCCAGCAGCTGAAATGCTGAACTGTGAAACTGGTAGGCATGCACAAGGCAGAAAATCCTCATAAATGCCTGCTGGTGAAGTAAAATAAACATGGCATACAGGGCTTTCCATGAAGAGAGGCATTCTTCAGCTTTGTGCTTTAAAACCTGAATTGTTTGTTCAGCAGTATCGGGGTCCAAGTCCTTAAATGTTACAGAACAAGTTAGTGACATGCTAAAATTTATTCTTGTGAATTAGTCTATGCATTTCGGCTGCCTTCAAATATGTGGTACTTTACTAAGGCTGGTTCTTTAGAAGGTGTGCAGTCTGGTTTGCCGGTCACTGCTTCAATTCAGATTTTGTTTTTCAGACAGCTTTTTCTGAAAAGTCTTTACCTCCTCTTAATTACCTTCCCAGCAAATCAAGCTTCAGTTCATGCTTTTTGTTAGACTTAACTCAATCTAACATTAAATGAAACCTGGCAACAGAATGAATATCTTCTAACAACTCGGAAGGTTACCTTCTGTGGGAATTATTTCTAGATAATGTCAACATCCCTCCAGCTCTCAGCATACTGAGAGTTGGTTGGTTTGTGTTTGTGTAGAAGCAGAGTAAGTCTGAACCCTGGCGTTGTCTGGGGTATCAGCAACATACTTTTGCTGTTGTGATTTTGCTTTACAAGATGTATGACTGTGGGGGTAGGAGAACCAAATATGAGAGGCAGGCTGGAATAGGGTACTGAGAGTATATTCTTGTTATGGGATGCTTTTGTTCCTGGACAGCAGGCTGTGGTTCCTGAAAGTTGGAGGGTTTCTTGTTGGGGAGGCGGGATGATGCTGAAGAGCTGCTCAGAGATGTAATATAGAGGTATATTGCTAGTTTACAAAGTTGTGTAAATGCCTTCAAACTTAAACTACAGCAAAACCTTGCCAGAACTGACAAGCTTTTGCTGTTTGGTTTGGGTTTTTGAGGTTTTTCCATTATTTTTGCCTTCTGTTACGCAAAAAAGATGATGTTGTTTTGGTAGACTGACAAAGTCAGGTATGCCAGTCATCACTGCTCTGGTTAATTTGAGTAATCACAGTCATTTCAGTTATGAAATTTTTCACAGGAGTAATATTGCTAAGTAAAACTTTGCTCAGTCAAAGTGCAGTTGATGACAGAGATGGCTCAAGGAAAACAGTCAGGCTGCAGACAGCTTTTTGTCAACCTAGAAAACAACGTGTACAGAGGTGAAAGTCAGCCCTGGAATCGCCAGCTTTGTCTACATGAAGGTGACAAATGGCTCGAAAGCAGGCCAACACCAAGCAAGCTGTGTAACGCTTACAGTACTCATCCACACTGCTGTCTGGTCGCCTGCTTGCAGCTCAGGCTCAAAGCATTGAGGCTGTGCTGAGGGAGCACTCAGCTCTGGGCACCTGCTGGTGGATTGGGCTGTAGCACGTTGTTGAAGGAGAGCTTTTACCCATGTTGAGCACAGTCAGACTCTACCACTCCAGAGATCAGTCTAAGTTTGTTTGAGCACATGCTTGCATGTAAGCTCTGGGGATGCTCGGCATGTTTTGATTTATGAACAGGCTTGGAAGTGCACTTGACAGCCTATCTAGGCATACTCAGTTACATGGTATTCTAGAGGTTGACCTCATTTTAAGGGTCACCTGTGTTGACACTCACCTTCTGCTGTCCTTGGCTCTGTTGCAGGGTGTTGTACTATTTACATGGTAGTAGCACACAGCACCTTTCATTACAATTAAGGCCCTGTGAAATAAGCAATAATCCTGTTACTGCAGTCACGCCTTTGCCTGTCATTGACATCTGTCCCTGTGTAGAATCTGGTAATAGTGTGCACCCATCTGAATCATGACACACACATGTGTGTTACAATTTTTCATCCTACTGTGCCACATTCAGTGCAATAGTTTTGCTAACTAACCACCTGAGCCTGGGGTTTTGTCTCTAAACTCTTCCTTGTTTCTTTTCTTTCCAGCACAAGCCAAGTGAGGCAGAGAGATGCAGAACCAACAACCTGTAGTGGGACTTCGAAGGGAGAACAGTGCACTAACAAGGCCCTTCCATTTACCAGGCATTGTTTTCAGCGTATCCTCTTAACACAGTGTGGGATTTGGATTCAGGCGTGGGTGCTGCTTTGTTGTAGGGTTTTTTGTTTGTTATGTTTTGCATTGCCAAATAGTTTTCACAAAGAAATACTTGTTTCTTAGTGTCTCACCATCACTCTTAGAATCATAGAATCATAGAACAGTTAGGGTTGGAAAGAACCTTAAGATCATCAAGTTCCAACCCCCCTGCCATTTTTCTCCATTATTTGGGTCTGTAGATGGTGGAGATAAGTAGTTTGCCAGTGGCACCTCTTATGGTCACATCATTTTACCTTTGTAAGCTTTTTTTGGTGGCTGCACATTAGATGTGAGGCTTGATTCTGAAGGCTATAAGTAGGCAGACTTCTGACCTGGAATACTTAAGAATTTTGCAGACTGTCTTTTTTGGTTTTAGCTGAAGAATTGTGCTTTTGTTGGAGTGGCTTCTTTTGTTGGAGCTTGTAAGTGACTAGTGGTGTCCCAGTAGCTATCAGACTGCAGCACCTTTACAGCCTTTTTGGTTTGCAGATGCCTTGCTTTTCTTAGTTAATTTTTGCAGTCTCCTTAGAAGTAGTCTGCAGAGAGCTCAAAATCTCTCTATGAGAGAGCACCATGGTGTACAGCTGTGCTTGGGATTTGCCTCATGATCCTGCTTTTTTTGTTTTGGCTTGGGGTTTTTTGTTCTTGTTTATGGTCTTGCTTGTTGGTGTGCATAAAGCAGAGAAGTCAGGACTAGTGATTTTACCCATATTTTTTCCCTTCTGCACTTCCTTCTCAATGGAAAGTGTTTCTCGTAAAATGAACAGGCTCTTGGTTCTGAACCATCAGTACAAGTCTGATGGCTGAACTGTTCTGAAGGTTTTTAATTTTCTTTGTCCTTTCTTTTGCATTTTAACATTTTATGAACATACAAAGTGATGTTGAGGTGTGAGAGCTGTTCAAGATGGAAGGAATGCTTCTAATGTTGTTTGAAAAAACACAATGAAATATCTGTTTGATTTGCTGTAAGTCTGGAAACATTTTCACTCCTGCAAGGGATTTTTCTGAAGGAAATCTCAGCAAGCTTACATTTGGATTTACTTGACCTTTCTGTCTGATTGCACATCTTTTTTTCAGAGGAGCAGGAAGGATCTTGAAACTTCTTTGTCTGTGCTCTAAAGATAAATGCCAAAAATGTACCTTAAAAGATTGAATTAAGAAATACTCTTTCTTTAATGTTTCAGTATGGATTGTCATTAGTCTGTAAGGAAATAGTCCTGTTGACTACACTGTTCCAACTGTTTCTATTGATGTATTGATTAAAACTCCAGGAAAAGGCTTCTTTTTGCTAAGAACTCATTAGTGAAATGACTGCTTCTGTAAAACTATCTCAATATATAATAAAATCATTAGAGATCCTGCATTTATGCAGTTTTTCACTTTAAAAGTTGGGTTTGAGCTTTACCTAGCTTTGAACTTGCATAACAAAGTTAAGGTACTCATTAAAAATAGCATCTATGGACAGGTAGAGTTGAAGGCTCTGATCTTCATCAGATTGATAAATCAAAGGGCATTCCTCCATCACTGCCTTCTGTGTTATTCCTGATTCAGAAATGTACAGATATCTTATTGAACCGTTCTCAGCAGCTCTTCTCAAGTTGCACAGCCAAGTTTGCGGATGGTCAGCAGTGCTCTGTGCCAGTTTTTGACATTACACATCAGACACCTCTGTGCGAAGAACATGCCAAAAAAATGGTAAGTACAAAGCCAAAAGTGTAATTTATATATTTGTATATTGGGATGATCAGGAGTTTTAACCCCAGTCTTTCTATGAACTCTTGCTCGACAACTAGGAAGTTTATCAACTTAAGAGCTTGTTTCCTTTTATTTCTCTTAAGAGGGTACAACATGCCAAACATTCCCATTTAGTATAAAGTATGTTGTGCAAGTCTTTTACATACTTTTGAGGATATAGTAAAATGTGCATGAGAATATCCTTCACTGGAAGAAATCTGATTCATCTCTTGAATCGAGAAATAGAAAATCATTGTGAGAGATCCTGTGGTTATTTTATTTGGGCTTACTCCTGACCATTGGATCTGAATATAGTATGAGTGTGGTGTGGGTAAGAACACTGCTTCTCAAGCAGTCTCAGTACATGGGGCCCAAAATATTTTCTAGAGGAAGTGTAGATAGCAGTTACAGGCATACAGATAATGGGTTTGCTGCTTTATTTACCTGTTGGTGACTATTAGAATTTATCTTTAACATCCCTTAGGGATCTGTGGATCCCAGAGGGAAAGCAGTGGCCTACTACAAGTTGAGAGAATATGGAAATTAAGATGATGTTCTCTGCTCTCCTTTTATGCCTCCCATCTTCCAGAAAAAGCTTTTAGAATAATTCACAAACCCACTTCTGTGTAGCCCCTCGTTCAAGGCATTAGGCATAAAACTCCTGAAGACTGATGATGGTTGATTTATTTTTTTCAGTGGTCAGTGATTGCTGTTCAAAACCAATGAAGCCTTAGTTGTTCACCCACATCCTTGCCCTAGTCACACAGCATTAATTCTGTTTCTTCAGTGCTGTCCTACTCTTTTATGGCAGTGGGCAGCTGAGGATGTTGGCTTCAGCTGCTGCACCCTTTTCCCATTATCTCTACTTCACAACAGTGTTCTGTCTTCAGTACTTACAGGAATGCTGCCAAAGGTTACAGTTTTGCAATTATTTTAGTTAGGGTTTGCTATGATTATATTTAAAGCAACACTGCATGATCTCCTATTTAGCATACCTCATAATATAATCTATGATTTTTGCCATTGGGATCGATGAGAAAGGAAACGGCTTAATTTTTGTAACCGTGCCTGGGTGTAAACTAGCAGTCTTTCTTGGATTACACATGAATGTCTGTGGAATGACTGGGGGAAAAAGAAAGGAAAGTACTGCATGATCCGGATATGCTCCCACTGTTACTGTCTTATTCCCAAAGGACAATTTCTTGAGAGGGGACAGCTCCCGTAAAGTTCAGCACCAGCAGCAGAGGAAACCCAGGAAAAAAACGAAGCCACCTGCACTTACCAAAAAACACAAGAAGAAGAGAAGGCGAGGCCCACGCCGGCCCCAGAAACCCATTCCTCCTGCAGTGCCCCAAGGGAACCTCACCATGCCTGCCAGTATCTCACTGCCAGTAGAGATGCCCCACATACGGTCAGTGGTAGCCCTGCCCCAGTTTCCCATTGCTACCTTTAATGTTGTCAGTGTTTTAGACTTGAGTAATTATTTGGTTTGTTGGATAAAATGTCTTGCTCCTGATGCTGCATTTTACCTATCTAATCAATAGGCTAACAAGCTTCCTAAAGAAACCTTCTAAAAACATTTCTTTTCCTAGAAAAAGAGGAAAACAAAAGGTGTGAGGAAGCACCCATTATAGATGGATATGCATTTGTAGTAGTTCTTTGGAGGAATCAGAATTGAACACTGGGGACTAATGGTACTTTCTGTCTAGGAGCCCCTCAACGCCAGAGCTGAGTGCCGATGAGCTGCCTGATGACATCGCCAATGAAATCACAGACATTCCACATGACTTGGAATTGAATCAGGAGGACTTCTCTGATGTCCTGCCACGGCTGCCCGATGACTTGCAAGATTTTGATTTCTTTGAGGGTACTGTTTTATTTTGTTTTATGCTAACGTGAACACAGTCAGTGAACTGAAAAAGGGAGTGTGTCTAACGCGCATTTTGAGGGGCTGCTTGCTTTCCTACAGAGGTAATAAATTCTAGACAAGGAAGTGTGCATTTGCTTTATTGTTTGTGAGCTCTGAAGGGAAGCCAGCATTAAGAAGGCTGGTGTGTGTAGTTCTTGCTTGCTCTTAGAACTACTGCTCTGAAAATCCTAATTGGTTTAGGATTTTAATAATTCATTTTACATTTTTACTGCCTGTCAGTGTTGCAGTTTAATCAAGAGTATTCTCCGTAATGGCATCTTTCTGCCGTCGAGTGGGGCTGGAATCACAGTCAGTGTTGGCCTTTGATAAAAGGAGAAGAGAGTGAGAATAAAATCTTTAAATACGTCTTTGAAACTAGCTTTTGATCAGAACTGTACTTGAATTTCTGGATTCTAAGTCTTAGTATCTGTCACATACAAAAAAGAAATTAGAACAACCCAGCATTGGGGTATGTGATTTCTTTGGTCATTTTCTGATATGAGGTGACATCAGACTGTTTGAGTTGAAATTAACCTAAATTATACTGACTGTGTGACTTTCAGGTCCAGGCTGTAATGTGGTAAGTAGGAAAGAGTTTGTGGACTATTTGTGTTATTGCAGCATTGAAGAAAATCTCAATTCGAGTGCTTTTACATTAGGTCTAGTAAGCTGGGGAGGTATCTTGTAGTGGAAGAGGAGGGTGGAGAGAGGGAGTTCCATTGAAGAGGAAGGTGTAATTTCTAATTTTTTACTTTGGTTATCTAGTTAACACAGGTGAATGAAATTTTCTGTGTACCACAAGCCATTCTGAAAGGTTATCATACTCTGCTGCTCTGTACTGAACTGTTTGTACATCTGCAGCCTCAGAGTGCCAGTGCTGGGCTCACCTGAGAGGAGTGTGCTAACTTGTGTGTCCTTGTTCCTGCAGGTAAAAACGGAGATCTCCTTCCAACCACAGAAGAGGCTGAGGAACTGGAACGGGCCCTACAGGCTGTGACTTCTCTTGAGTGCCTGAGTACCATTGGAGTACTTACACAGACAGATGGTGTGCCAGTTCAGGAGCTGTCAGATAGAGGGATAGGGGTGTTCTCTACAGGTGCTGGAGCTCCAGGAATGCAGTCCTTGAGTCGAGAGGTTAACACGGATCTGGGGGAGCTGTTGAATGGGCGTATAGTACATGATAATTTCTCCAGTCTGGAGCTGGATGAGAACTTGCTCCGTTCTGCTACCTTGTCCAACTCACCTACGCCCCTGGCAGGGCAGATCCAGGGGCAATTCTCAGCCCCAGCCAACGTTGGCCTTACTTCTGCCACTCTGATAAGCCAGAGTGGCCTTGGGGAGAGAGCCTTCCCAGGACAGTTTCATGGACTTCATGATGGCAGCCATGCCTCCCAGAGGCCCCACCCTGCCCAGCTGCTGAGCAAGGCAGATGACCTGATCACCTCACGACAGCAATACAGCAGTGACCATTCACACTCCTCACCCCATGGAAGCCATTATGATAGTGAGCATGTGCCGTCTCCCTACAGTGACCATATCACATCCCCTCATACCACATCCTTTTCTGGTGATAACCTGGCAGCTACCTTCTCAGCAGAGATACCCATGATGGCACAGCACTTGCTCCCAACTCAGCTGGATGTGCCACTTAGCGGGGTGGTCAACCCCAGAACTCACTGGGGGAATCTTCCTGTCAATCTTGGGGACCCCTCTCCGTTTAGCAACCTTCTTGGTGCAGATGGACACCTCCTGTCCACCTCCCTGTCCACACCACCTACCACCTCGCACTCAGAGACCACACAGCCTGCCTTCGCCACTGTGACCCCCAACAGCTCCAGTGTGCTCCCGGGGTTACCGCAGACCAGTTTTAGTGGCATGGGTCCTGCCTCCGCTGAACTCATGGCCTCCACCTCCCCTAAACAGCAGCTCCCTCAGTTCAGCGCAGCCTTTGGGCACCAGCTGAGCTCCCACAGTGGCATCCCCAAGGACCTGCAGCCCAGCCACAGCTCCATAGCTCCTCCCACGGGCTTCGCAGTGACCGGTGCCACCGCTACCAGTACCAATAACGCATCTGCACCCTTCACCACCTCCAGCTGAGCTTGTCTGCCTGGCTCTGTGCAGGTAGATGGGGGACCTGTGTTTTCTACCTTTCCTTTTTTTCCTTTTTCTTTATTTTTTTCTGTCCTCCCTTCCTTTTTGTTTTTTTAAGAGGGGGTTGAGAAGAAAACCCCTGCTTCAATACTGACCAGGGTTAGCCCTCTGTGAACCTTGCTGTAGCGTTCACATGTGCTTGTTACGCACCGGTGCTCATTTCTTGCAGGCAGGTTCACCGTTCCCAAAAATTCCTTAAGGATACAGCACAGTTACTGGATGCAATTGATCTTAACAGTAAGACCTAGAAATAGAAAGATACCTCAGATTACTGATGCATGTTACTGTTCCCTAGGGTTTGGATCAGTGCTTGCCATCCCTTTAGCATCTGGTAGAAAGTTTTCCAGTGGGCAGAAGTTTGTTTGGTTTTTTTTTGCTTTTAATTTACCCTTTTCCAAAGGTAGCATCTGGCATGGAAAACTTGGCTGCACGCATTGATTTGAGAATGCTGCACTGAAGTCCTAAATCAAGGTCATGGTTCAAGATGAGTTTGGCATTTTCTTAAAATAGTCTTTTGACCTCCTCTGTGTGCGTGTGTGTGTTTGGGGTACAGGGAGCAGCAGTTCCTTTTCTGCCTTTGGTGAAGAAGTGGGAGTTGTCCCCTTCCAGAGCTGGTCACTGTTGTTGCATGCTGATTTTTTGTTGTTTTGTGGGGTTTTTGGTTTTGTTCTTTTGGTTTTGTTTTATTGTGATGTTTTTTAATTCATTGAGCAGCAAGGGGAGCAGTTGATTGGGTGCCCAGAAATCTGAAGGCTGATACAAAGTTAGCCCAGGGGGAAAAAGAAAGAAATTAAATCAGAAGGATTGAAATAGATCATGAGTGAAGATGAGTGAAGATTCCTGTGCAGAAATTCCCTCCTTTGCTGAATTACTGTGGCCTTGTAGCATTGGTAATTTGCCTTTTCAAATGTGGCTTTGTCCAAGAACTTCTTGCCTGACAGGCTGACAGGTATTTCCCAGCTGAAACGGGAAGAATTTGGTTGGTATTCTGCCCATCCACACAAGTCTAGGTCAGACCCTTTGGTAAGTTTCAAATGGATGCATTTCTCAAGTTATATCTAGCTACTGAAACTTTTTTGGATAGTTTTCCTCCCACTGGGAGCCATACTATTTTTTCAACGCGTGTGAGATTTGATGCTCTCTATGGGAAGCTGAATGTATGTAAGGAACCAGCAAGTACCTATCAGCAGTCATGGCTAACCAAAAGAGAAATCACTAAAGCAAAATAGAAAAGAACCCCTTCTGTCTGCAGCACAGTTTTGCCTTCACTGCCCACCTGCTAAAGGTAGTATTCAGACTTTTTGGTAGTAATTTGAGTTCTTAAAGAAAGGAGTCCACTAGCTTTTAGATTTTTATGGTTTTTAATCCAAGAGAGAGCAGCAGCAGAAATCCTTAGGTGTGTTTAATTGTATCTCTATCAGGAAAGGGAAAAAGGAACTTGCTTGTGACTTTATAGGGCTCAAACTTGCTACTGTACTCTAACTGTAAAAGTAGCTCCTACTTAATGTAACAAGTCTCTACTCTTCTTTGTTTCTGAGATGCAGATGAGAGAGAATGGAAAATCCCACATTTCAGTCTCTTACTGACATATTTCATTCTACCTTACAGTAAAACATCCTACCTGCATGTATTCTAAGATTAATTCAGGAAATTAAGAGGTACCAAGCACATGTAACAGAGAGGCCTAATAAATCGTTTGAGCAAGGGATCATTGAATGAAGTTAAGTTGCTATAGAAACTCATTTTGTTAGCAGTCAGGCCCGCACCAGAACCTCTGACCCAAACCTCTCCTTCCGTCTTGCTAAGGAACAGAATTTAGATGGGATAGGTCTTGTGTCTTCTTACTATCATAGCAATCATTCTATCCCTCTTTTCTTGAAAGATTTTTCCTCCTTAAATACAAAGGAGTATGGATGATGCATATGTTCTTTTCTGAAATTGCAAGTGTTATGTGGGTGGAGGAAACAAAAATTATTTTCATGCTTCTGTTGTTATGAAGTCCTTATTTCATACTTGGTAAAATAGATCTTAATAATATAAGCCGAATATTTTTAAGTGGTGATTTAAATATGTTTGTAACATTTAAATGTTTTAAAATCATGTAAAAAGTTGAAGCCTATGAAATCCTGCTTGTGATTGTCCTGCTGATTGAGGAATGCCCAGTGGTATTGTGAAATGAGGCAAATCTGACAAGGCATTTATTTATGTTTGTATTATGTTCCCCATACTTTGTTGAGGAGACAATTGTTTGATTTGCAAATGAATTTTGTTGTGTCCATATACCTTCTTAAATGTGTTTGGATGACTGGCTGAAAAAGAGTGGAGAATTAGTATACCAAATGGTTAATTCTTTAACCTGCCTCTTTATTCATGTCATTTTAGAAGATGTTAATTTCTGTAAATTGGTTTCAGGACTTTGGTCTTGATATCATTCTTGTGCCCACCAAACTTCAAAGAAGCTGCAGCTAGTGCAGGGTATATTTGCCCCACATTACATTTCTCTTTCTTAGCAAATGCAGGGGGTGAGGGGAAGGGAACAGAGGAACAGAGAGTCAAGTTCTGCTTGGTCATGTTGGTATAAGTTATGGAGGAGCTCTTTGGTCTAAGGTCATTGTGAGGTTGTACTGGTCTAACTGGGAACAGAACCCAGCTCCTAATCTGGGCATTGATTTAGTCAGGGAATTTCAAAATTGGGAAAAGCTCTACAGGTCCATAATTCCCATTTGAAATCAATGGTCGTTTTGCACCTACCTGCATTCCTTTAAGGCAGCCTAGGATAGCAACTCTCTTCCCCAACACAGACTTCAATTTTTGTATAATCCTTGATGACTCTTCCTCGGAAAGTGACTACGTAACGTTTTTCAATGAGCAAACTGAGTTTGCAATAAAGCTGCACTTTTAAAAATAGACTTTGGTTTGTATACATTTGAAATAGGAATCCTTCTGTCCTGTCTGACACAGAGCTCTGAAGTGGGCCACCACTTTTGCCTTTTCCTGGTTCACCTCCTGTTTTTTCACTGCCACTGATTTCATGGTTACAGCCTTCTAAGCAGTTACGGGTCTTGATCTTAGCTTTACATGGTGGATCATTCCAGGTGGGCTTCTGCGCTCACGCAGCCTGTTGACTTCAGTGAATCAGTGTCTTATTGTTGGATGTGAGAGATACAGTCTAAGATACATGTGCAGCCAGTTTCACACCTCTTCCTCTAGGAAATACTGCAGTTCTGGTTAAGGTGGTCTGTGAGGCCATTATTTATGTGGTTCCCGAGTAGTATCCATGCTCTTTCACAAAGGTTTTGGTGTATCATCTTGCATAGCAATTAGCACTCTAATCACCCTTTCACCAAAGAGCCAGTGTAGCAATTTCAGTCCATTGATTTGAGATGATCAATGCCTGTCATACCCTTTATGTATTAACAAATGGAATAAAGGTAGTTGAACCTAAAAGTTAATTTCTTTACATAAGATTTGAGTTTTAAAGAACTGAAAAAAAAAAAAAAGACTTAGAATAAAATACCAGGAACATCATTTTTTGTAATAATATCACCTCTATTAGTCTTTGTACAAAAGTACTTAACACAGGATGAACTTTGACAATGTACAGGAACAGCCTTATGCTCTCCTGGTGTTTAAGGCATTGTGTAAGAGACACTTTAATGTTTCCTTTCACTTGGGAAGACTGTATGCCAACTTTGAGGGGAGTCGTATGTGCTTAGATACCTCAAAGTTGATTTGTTCTTTAGCCTCGTAGTTACTTTGATACAAGAAGATGTACGTCTGATGCAAGAAGATGGAATCATTTTGTCTCATCCTGCCTTCTAGTTCCTCCAGGTTTATGCTTAATTCCCTTCTTGTTAGTAGCATTCTTCTCTCTGGTTGGCATAAAGCTTTAAATTGATAATGCTGAGAGGTAGCACAGTTGCAGGTCTGCCTCAGGCACCGTGGAGAAGATGGCAACAGCTAGATTGCCCACTTCATTCAGCAGGTTAGTGAAATGAGGATTTGCGGTACTCATTTGGAAGGCACTGGAAGGCCCCGAGAAGCTTATCACTTGCTAGGGAAAACTCAAGAGATGTTATTAGTACAAATGCAAGGAAAAAAAATATCAGAGGAGAGTCATCCACAATAGCAAAGAAGGCAAGCAAAGCGTCTTTTTTTGGTTTTGTCTTCCTAGCAGGAGATGGGTATTGAATAACGGGAAGTTTTGTTGTGAGTTGTTAGGCATAGTGTGCTGCTACTGGCTTCAGGGGCATGGCTGGGGCAAAGGGCCTAGGACTGAACTTGCAAGCCAGTTGCCAAATTCAGTTTGAAGCGTGACTGTGACCACATCAAAGTACAGTCTGGGCTTGAATCTGCTTGCCAGGGAAGGAGTCTCATGAAGGAGTATAATCAACAGTGGACAGATGTCTTCACTGAGAACATGGCCCTGATGGTTGTGTACATGCATTGTTAGTCTGCCTCTGAACTCCAGCTCCTACCTGAGCTCCTGCAGCACCTTGACTGCTGTGTTTCCTTGTAGGCATCAGCAGGGCTCCAGGGGTATTTCTCACTGTCTTTGTGCTGCATTGAGCTGGTGAATTCTCCAACAGTATAAGCCTTGGTACAGGGAGGTGAGAATTCTTAGAAGAGCCAGCCACCTACCTGCAGTTGAATCTTTCAGGGCTTGTAGGTCATATGTTTGGTGGCAGGAGGTGCTTTCAGCAGACAACAGTAGAGAGCTTACCTGCAGTGACCTTCTGCAGTGAGGCAATGGTGTGGGTGTCTGGGCAGCTTCCCTGGTAGGATGTTTAGTTTTGCTTTTGTATTTTTGCCATTTCCTGTGAAGGCTTCTCGGTGCAGGCCTGTTGCAAGGTCCAGTGTTGGTGTCAATATTAACTGAAGGAATAGTTTTGGGCTAGTGTACTGACCAGATCTTCAGGTCTTTCTGATCTTCTGGGCCACATTTAATGATGGAGTGTTGTGGGATTCTTGTACCTCCTTTGTTTCCTTCCCCTCTACATTCTTCATCATTCTTTTATTCTCCCATTCCAAGATAGTTCTCCAATGTAAGTAATGCCAACTGGTAAGTCTTCTGTGGTCCTGAGCAAATACAGCTGTAAAATGAAAAGGAGGAGAGATTCCTGCATTTCATAACATACATTTCAGATGCTGGAAAGACAGTGCAATAGATCAGAGTATTTCTCAAAGCAGTGAGCAAGATCATGCTTCACAGCACGCTAATATGCCATAAACTAGATGTTGTGGGTACAGCATTGTTTATGGGAGTGCACATGCTAGCAGTGAATGTGCAGGTATTTTTAGCAAGAGTTTACCTTCTCACAAGTTCCTCTTCTTTTGAGAAGTGCATCAGTAGAAAGTCATAAGGAAGACTGTAAGTTGTTATTCTCAATATGCACAAGCGCAAATAAAAGTAAGGAGACTTGGTGGAAAAATCTGCATTTCTGTTTACAAAACTTAGACTTTAGGAGGAGAGGCCTGGTCATGAGAGGCCTTTAGCTCTATCAGGTGAAGTTTTGCTTTTTTCTTTAAAACTAGACAAAAGCACTGTTACTGGGAAAGAAGAGTTTGGTGGAGGAGAAGGAGTTATGCAAGAAATGCTTTTGACAATTTTCTCACTCATGTTTTCAGCCCTTTTTTAAAAAAGAAAAAACCCCACTACATCAGTGACTGGCTTGGGAGCTTTTTCCTTGCTGTTCTGCTACTTTTCCTGGTTGTTGGGTTCTTTGCTTTCCCCTGTCGTATTTTGCTTTTGCATACTCATTCTCTGTCTGCTGTGGAATAATGTAACATAGTGAAAGAATGAAAGGAGAAAGTGGGCTTGGCCATAGATCGATTGCAAGAGTTGGAGAACACTTTCTGTCTCCTTGAAGTACGTGTTGGCATCTTTCAGTCTACTCTGGCTCACAGAATTCGGTTTGGAAGTGAACAGGAGGAAACTTGTGCTTTTGACCTTAAAACTGTACTTACCTGATATAGAAAAATGCATTCTTCCTACTCCTTCTCCCTGCTAGTCCCCCAAACACACACACAGATGCCCAGAGTACCTGTGTATCGACCACATACATGTGTTGACCTTGGTCGAGTAACGCTAATGTTTTACCTGCTTTCTGTCATCATCAGCCGGTGCCCGCAGCGGGGGGAACTTTGGATAGGTAACGTTCCCAGATATCCTCTGGAAAACTTTAACTTTGGTGCAGATTGCTCTGCTGTAGCTAACTGCGATGGCATTGGCTTCTGCCTTGGAGTGGGCTGATTTACCCTGAAATGACTCTCTAATCTGCGTCTTCAACGGTGTGGTTGGTTCCTGTGCAAATAGATTCATTCTAAAATGATGGACAGTTCAATTCTCATGCAAAATAGCTACATCCTACCAGAAAGGGTTGAACCAGTTTCTCTGAACAGTGATGACCTTCACTGTACAGTTTTGGGTATGTCTCAGGGATTCCTTGTAGAAATAAGGGCAGTTAACAAAAAACAAAACATAAAAAAAAAAAAAAAAAGGAAAAAGAAAAAAAAGTGAATAGTTTTAAAAGTAAATAATAATTTAAGGTAGAGCGTCACCTATGTGAGAGCGCAAGAAAGAGAAATCTTTGTTCAGTTTTATAGTAAACCGTGTCTGGCTTAGGGACTCTTCTCGGGGCTCTCATCTCAAGTTCAACGTACAGAATCTTTTTCATCACGCTCAGCTTTAAACTTTTTATTTAAAGATACCCTTCCCCAATGAGCTTTCAGAATACTTATTGTAGATTTAAAGAGAAATGGTATATTAATTTATGCTATTAACATCACCTCATAAATTATAAGTTTTATACTAAAGCTGTATTGAGTGTAATGAATTATGTTGCATATGTGTTTTTAATAGCTATAAAATTATATACAAGCTTTTTGGAAAAACAAACTAGTGAAGCACCTTTTTACACTGGATCTTTGCCGTGTCAAGGTGTACAGCTATTCTTTGCTACCTTGCAGATATCTATATCTATATATAGATATATATATATAAATAAAATAAAATGGTATCCTGTATCAACAAGCATAGAACTCTTTTTAACCCTTATATTACTGTTCATATAACTCTTTCTAAATTGTTACATTCTGCAATAATTTCTCTGTGGTTTGTACCTATGATTAGAAATTTAGTTACAGGGTAAATAGATCAAATTAAAGAAATCCAACTACTGTAGCTGGAAGTTGTGAACCAAGTTTGTAAGACCTTTTCTTTCTTTCTTTTTTTTTTTTTCATGTATTTATTTCCAGTTAGCTCTGTGAGTTGGAATTTGAAAAGTCAGAACATTAGGAATCTACAGTGTCTTATTCAGGAATTTTTCCCCTCCTTTCCTCACAAAGGAATTCCCACTGTGACTTATAAATAGAATTAGACTGCTTGTGTGCATGTATGTATTATATATACACACAAAAAATATGCATTGGGGGGGATGTATGTGCGATACGAATGTGTATATTGTATGTAGGTCATAGTTTTGTAAAGAGAAAAGTAGTCAAGAGGTGATGGAATGTATTGTAGAAATGTGATTATTTAGTAGGGGGTTGTTATGTCTTCACTGTTGTATAAATAACTGAAACTCTCTACTACATAATCTTCTGTTATAAGGCTAACTCTGATATCATGTCAATTTTACTGTTTTTTAAATGCGTTGCATTGAGCCCTATTTAAAATGCCATGAAAATACCAAGCTCCCAAAGACAGCCTTGAAATAAAACTAATGGGGGAGGAGGAAAGATGGGAGAAGTGAGTGATGTTTTCCAGGAGAAATTGAAATGGGAAGGTTTGCATTTAATGGATGGGGAGGCGTGGGAATTGCTGTATCTTTGCAAATTAATACCTGAATCTCCTGTGGTCTGACTTGGAAAATGTTGTCAATCAGTGTACTTGTGTTTTCAAATTA